CATAGTCGTATGCATATTGGCTCACATCACATGTGTGAGTGAGTTTATTGAGAGGGTCAAGTGTCGATCTATACTCATTATGTTGCTGAGGTTTAACATAGATAGTGTGAGAGTTTGGACGAGAATATTCATTCATATGGTGCCTATATGAGTCCCGTTTAGTGCTCCATATATCCTGATGATCCATTCTACGTTGCATTCCCAAGTTAGGTGCGTTGCTAGGCATATTACTCCTAGTTCGGGAAGGGGTGTTCTTACTCACATGATGGATGACGTTTTTGGGAATATGGTTTCTTACCCATGCATTGTCATTTTTTAGACTGATATGCTGCTTATTGAGGGAGGGAGGTATGTCGAAGTCTGGAGTGGGACTCTAGGCTTTGTCGTCTTTCTTGCAGTTTCTACTGCGGGACTCTCGGGCTTGCATCCAGATTGAGTGTGGTCTGCCAGTGGTTTCTGGTCAGACATAGTTTGTGAGTCAATATCAACCTCATGTATGTCAGCAGGTTTTCCAGATGTGCTCTCATGTACTTTAGGATTGCACCCAGTGACACTGCTCTTACTGAGTTTCGAGTCGCTTTTACTTGCCGATTTTTTTTCCATCACTATACAGGTGACTTGCTGTGCCTCAGTGTCCGTCGACACTTTAGCACTGATACCAGGTGTAGTTCTCGGTGTGGTCAACTTTGTATCGAAGGAGTTCTTGGTTGCTTGCCCTTGGTTAGCTGTTTTATCCGAGACTACTTTAATAGTCTTGAATTTAGTGGCAGTAGCCAGAAGATCTTCGGCCTTCTTAAATAGTTCAGCTATTATGTAGCTGTCGAACCTAAAGAGTATGGGATATGGATGCTTTAGGTCTTTTTTACTTAAGCGAATGCACTGACAAGGTGCACTCAAGAGATTTGCAGCCTTCAGCAATGAGTGCTGGACCGACTTTATGGGCTCGCTATCTGGTACATTATACACTATAGCGTTTTGTTTCGAAGCCAGCCTTTTAACAACTTCGCTGGATAGAAAGTCAATGGCGTTTTCTAACTCCTTCGCATTTTCTGAGTCAGTAGGCGTCATTCTAGAGGTAATATTAAAAAGCTTTAGGATCGTAGGATCCTGCAGTTCCTTTTTCATAAGTGAGATGGTTTCGGGTATGCATTCAAATGAACTTAATTTCGTTTTTAATTCATCTATCTGTAGCTGCATCTCTTTAATAATGCATTTTAAGTAAGAGAGCTCTACCTTTTCAGACAGAACATCTTCCAACTGTATTACAGGGGTCAGAGTTATGTTCGAGTCTTTTATGCTGGGTGAACTACTAATAATAAGGCGTGGTAATGTGTTATTAGACGAGCTGGTGCTATTTTCTAAATTACTGCTGTTCACACGAACACTCTAGAATTTCGGCCCATCGTTATTAAAGATCAATCAACAGTAAGCAATAAATGAATATAAACGAAAACACGTGCAAAAGCGTCACCTGATTAGAACGTACCGGGCAAGTAGTATCTAATGGGAAGTCAATATCTCTATATTTCTTGATGTGGTCCATTGGATCACTAGTTTTCCGATTTTTCTCACAAACTAAAGATAAAATGACAACAACCGTGTTATTTAACCGTAAATCATGTAATTTAAATATGTAACTTAAATAATACTTATCCATGTCTATACAACTTGTGTGTCCTACATTTGTAGGAATAAATATGTACCTTATTATATTATCATTACTAACTCTGCTTACCGATCGTATGTGTAATTTACCGAATTGATGATGCCTGTAAACTGACGTCCCTCATGTACAAAAATGGGAATATATTATTATTAATGCTGGGAATGGAAACTGAAGAAGTTAAATCCAAACGCCGAAGTACATAAAATATGTAGAAGCAAAGAGAAAGTATAATAATATTTATTTACGCTGTTGTTCTGATTTATGCAGTCAGATGTCCTTCTGAAGTAGAGAAATCATACCATGAGCTTGTTTTCGGAGAGTTTCTACACAAGCAAGCAAGGCATTCACAACCTCTTACTTCATTAGAGTTGCTGCGCAACTTAATAAGCAATAGTATTTACACGAATGAATTGCAAAACAAAGTCATCCACACATTTTGAATAACTTATACCCATTCCGATTGAGACAATAACCTCCTTTCACGCGTGAGCCTAATTCATGTTTATGAAACCAGAATCCCATAGCAACCAAATCTTTTCCTAAAATGAAGGCTGTTTGAAAGAATGAGTTCATTATAATGCTGCACACTGCTTTCAAAGTGTTAACTCTGTGTCCTCAAATAAAAAGCAGGCCGTGGTGAACACACGAAAGTAGGGACTAGTGCTGGAGACTACCATACTAGTGCCGGCAAAAGTGCTCCATTAAATAAGTCAAAAATACTCGCATATTATAATGAAAATCCAGAAGCTTAGGTTGCACTTCTAAACTTACTACCTGCTTAAATCCATCACATTGCACAACTACCAGTATCAAATGAAATTTTCCGATATAAGTGTGGTAAATGTGAAGCAGTTCAGGTACCTTGTGCCGGCGGTATAAGGAATGTAGGGAAAAATTTTATTGTGAAATTTTGTTTAGAGAGCAAATTAAAAATATGACTTGCCATTAAACTAACACAGTAACGAACTACAATGCCCTATAATAATATATTTATTCCTGCTTACTCAGGAACATACCAATTGTACAGGCATGGATAAGTTATTATATAAATTACGCATATCTTGTTGCATGATGAATTTACAGTTTGATTGTTCTTTCTGACATTAGAGTCAGTTGGAACAGTCTGCTAAATAGTCTAGTTAGCGGGGATATGCGATGAAACCACTTCGTAAGTCCATGGTCGCCTCGTTTCCCTCCCTGATGATGAAGTTGCTCTATGGCTTGTGAAACGAATAAGTATATCAGTGACGGAAAGCGTTTGAGGAAGTGGATATCTAATCAAGGGTTTTATTTAAAATTCCCTTTCCACCTTAAATGGTATAGGCCAGAATTTATGCTAAAGATTCAGTCGTGAGGATCCACAAACTGGTTGGGCATTTTCAAATATCGTTTTGACCTAGCAGAAAAATCCCCGACTGTTCTGTCACTGTTTGCTCCACAGGGATTAGTGACTCCATCACACCCAACTGCCAAACAAGTTCTACAGAGGTGTGTTTTTGAATGACTGGAATCAGCCTTTTAGCCCAGGTACTTTATCTTTGTGAGGAGACTGGGAAAAATCGTTAAAAATTTGGTACAGCAACTATAGCCAGAAGTGTCAGGGAAGAATTGAGTGGGAGCTGATAAAGTTTTTGTGATTTCTCCGAAACGGATTACATTGCTGCCTTCCATTCATGGATCAAGCCAAAACACAAGCTTTCGTGCAGCTGTTTCCTCTGTTCCAAAGCTGAATTTACACTCAAAAAGTCATCAGCTGTACCCACACTGGGATTCGGCGCAGCAGTAGTGAATGCCCAAATGAGCGAAGTTTTAAGGAAGAATATTTTAGATGGTCCGGTACCGTGTTAAGGACAAAAAGGACCAGAGGACATCAAAAGAGATATATCACCATTTTGCATCAGTCTCTGAGAGCCCACATATTGGAAAACTGCAGCAGTGTGGTTATATTTTATTGAAAAGATGACTTAGACCTACCTAATAAAGTTCAGGTGACAGCCGCACGCACGACTTCCAATATACCTGATTTACCAAATGAGAAGTGACCAAAGTGACTGCATATATTCCAGATCATTTTGGGACATAATTAGAGTGTAAAGCATTTCAATGAAGGACGGTGGGCCTAATCTTTTTCGTTATACACTTCCCACTATGTAGAAACAACTCAAAGAGTACAGGAAGTGGATGAAAATACCCTGAGAGAACTGTTTTGTCAGACAGTACAAGCAAATGAATTTTAGAGGCAGCTGTCATGAAGAGTCAAGGTTTGTGCCATTATCTAAACCTTTCAGCTCGGGAAATAGAGAAATATGTGTTTACTATGAGAACATTGACGTTTATTATTTACGTTTTGAGCTCGAATGTAAATGGTCATTCCAAAGTGATTACGCTTATTATTACGAGATTCGTAGAAAAGTTTACTTTTTCTATGCACTCTTCCTAGTCTTGACAACATAATCTTGTGGTGAAATTTAATTTCACGTTTCAATGTTGTTATTTTACATTGAATGACCTAAGAAGCATTATTCTTTAAACACATCAGTCGTTATCGTTTAGTGGTTAGAGGCGTGTTTTCTTCCGTGGAATTCTCTCTGAAGGTAACCAAATTTTTGGCAGTTATTCAGTTATGTGCTGGTGATAACCTATGTAGTACAGATGATTAAATCCAGTCTTATCTTGTTTCGATATATTTTAAAAAGAATACACACCTGGTCGTCTACCCTTATCAGAAATGCACTGAATTTCAAGACAGTTGTTTTTAAAGGGTCTTCATTAAAAAATGTAGTGAAAAAATTTGATTGAGTAAAAACTTGTTAGAGTCATGGCTCTAACAGGTGAAGCCAAAATTTAATTTTTCTCCGGCACACAAAAGGCATCAGCAAACCTGCCGCCTATTTTTTCCGTATATAATAAAATCTGTTTATAATAGTAACAAAGACGCAAATGACATGTATTTACGAGTCTTTACTGAGATATCACTATGTAGTCGGAATATTTATGTTCTCATTATTCTTGACTCCGAACGTTAGTCTCTCTGTCTGCATGCTTGTAAGGAAAGATAGGAAGACAACCTTGACATTACTTTGGATTTCTATGGTAACTGAATCTGTGCCTATACATCTGTAGTTAAATTGAATAATTCCCTACTGGGTCATCTCGTTCTTCTCACGGTTTTGATTTCATCAGAAGCATAAATAACACGAAACTATAAGTATAGGTCCGTGCGTAGAATTGTACATTGTTTGCATATATCTATAAATGTTTTCTGATTTATTCTAAGTGCAAATGATGTATCTTCATTTTATAAATATTTAAAAATTTTGAATCACTCTGTAGAATGGATTTCCAAGAAATGATTGCTGCGGATTTAAATAGTTTGCAATCAAAGGTGACGAACCTCTTCAGAACATCTAGAAATCAAGTGCCTTTAGCATTTCTCCAAGATTTGTGCATTCTCGTAAGTTTCCTTAACTTTCAACATTTCTTTCATATACTATTTTTGAATCAGAATAAATTTTACAAGCAGATGTTCTTAATATGTTTAAAAATCTTATCTGTATTATTTTCGGTCAACGTGATTGTTTTGATAAAGGACATTGAACTGTAAAATATGTGAGTAAACCCTAGCAAAATAAGTCAATTTTGCATAGTCGTTCTGAATTTCAGTTACATTTAATTACACTGGCGGAGAAGCATATTCTTAAAACCCTGCTATTGCGCAAAAATCGAAGGGATAACAGTTAACCTCACTTTTTAAGCATCTCTGTTGGTGTGTTACGGCAAAATCAAGTTAGAGGAAGGGATGTGAAAGCAGTTGATACTCTTTTTCGGATGATCAGCTGCTTTATCTTCACTGTTCATGAAGTGTTAGAATAAATCGATTAAAGATGTAACATTTCTCAATTGCTCCACATAAGTTTTCTACCTGTTATAAGGTATTTTTTCCTTGATTGACTATTAATGCCGTTGCATTTGTCTGACATATCAAGTAGACATCGAAGTAGAAACTGTCCTCATGTTTCCATTTGCTTATTGCATACCTGCCTAACTCTTTTACTGTTTCATTCTTCATCAGGTTGTTTTACTGCTAATACTTTTCCCCATGCAGTTGCTTAAATTTTTTGAAACTCTCATATCCTTACCAACATTCCCATTAAAATAATCATTGTTTATACTATGTTAAAGCCAAATCACCAACTACACACCGGTGATTTGAACATTCGACCGTTGTGCTTAACTGGATAAAGAGTTCTCTAAACCTGAACTCCAGCATTTCGTGCTATACATGCTTCTTACATTCTTGAGGTGTGCTTGTGGCTTACAGATTTGAACTGTTCATTTCCGGCCACTGGAACCCTCCACAACAATAACGGAGGCTTTTGCAGTGAAGTGGTGTAATTAACCTTCCCAATACCCGTTACTCTAAGCAGGCTGCGTCTAAATGCAATAATTTTTCCTTAGATCTTAGGTGCAAATACAAGGCCTAGTTATGTTTATTTACTTAATCCAGCTTAGCCAAGCTTCAACGCCTACTGGATACTAGAGTAAAGATAACACTAAGCCGTACATACAAGAAACTCACTTTTCATTCCGATCGTACTTGTGTATATATGCTTTTGTTGGCTGGTAAAGGGACTATTTAATCAAGGAAGTTATTGTTACAGCCCCTGTGTATTTTTACTCTGTAGGCGTTCTGTATTTTCATTATGAATATACTCTATTGTTTTAGCTTAATTCATTCCAACATGAATACCAGTCAGTATTAAAACAATTCGAATTAGGATTAATAAACTTATTGGTGGTCAGAAATGTACACAAAAGTTCACACGATGTGAAAATTGGTTCATGGATTGAAGAAGTGAATGATTTTGTCAATAAATTTGAAGTAAGAGCATACCATTTTTTATTATTTTGTACGTTATTAACATTTTACTATTAACATTTACTATCTCTTCCATGTCACCCACAGACATAAAGCTCGCGTTTTCAATCCGAGTTCCACCTGAGCAATGGCCTGGCGCGAGATGTCACTCATTAGTCTTCTCAACGTGTGTCTAATGCATCTCCACTCTCTTCGGCATATTTGTTGACCAATAGGTTCTTGGTTGGTTCATTCCCAGAGTTCATTGTTGCTGATCCTCGCCGGACACCTGAATATAAGTATAAAGGGAAGGCAGCTGTTGACAAAGGTTTGCAACAGGCTGTTGGAAATGTTTTCCGTGACGCATACGTCTAGTCTCTGGACCACATAAAAGTATTGACTTGACGCTGATGGTGAAAATCTGAATCTTGCTGTTTATGCTGAGTGCAGCAAATTTCTAAATTGGTTTTAGAGTAGTGACTTTGGAATCTTCATCCGTGCTGTCACCTGTAATTGAGTCAATGCTACCTAGATAAGTTAAGTAGGTCACTTCCTTCTAATTTTTCCGTTGATGGTGAGTGGTACTTGTTGTTGCTGGTCAGGTGTCTTCATCATCTCGGTCTTCTCTATGTTTACTTGAATTCCTGTCTTCGCTGACTGTATCTCCTGAAAATTTGTTGGTTTTCGCCTGAAGATCTTCGAGTTTGTGTGACATTAGACATATATCATCGTTGTAGTCCAGAACTCTTCTTATCAGTTGGACGTATTCCCCACTTCTCGCCGCCCACAGTTCGTTGCATGATCCAGTTCACCACAATCAGGAACATCACCAGTGAAAATAGGCAGTCTTGTCTTACTTCAGTCTTCACTCCAACTGCTTCTCTTGGCTTCCTGCTGTCAATCAGTGGAATCACCATAAAGCTGTTGAACGGGGTTGATAAAAATTTGTGGCACTACACTCCATAGTGTTGAATTAGTTTCCAAATTACTTCGTGAAAACGCTATCGAAGGATTTTTCAAAATCGATGAAGTTGATGTAGAGATTTGCTCACTATTCTATACTCTCTTCAATGATGATGCGTAGAGTTCCAATTTGATTCGAACATGATTTGTTTTTCCTGAATTCAAATTGTTCCGGGAGGAGTTTCGCATCCAGAGCACTTCTGTGTCTCATCAGAATGACACGACTTAATATTTTGCTTGGTGTGGATAGGACTGAAATTTCGTGCTAGTTCCTGCAAAGGCTTAAGTTTCCCTTCTTTGGAATTTTGGCGTGGTAGCCCTCCTTGCAGTTAGTAGGTACCTTTCCTTCCTTGCAAACTTTCTGCATTGGTGCTCTCAGGACATCCACTGGGGATCTCTGGACCTCTTTTAAGTGCTTCCGGAGGAATTCTGTCTGAACTAACCACCTTCCCGGTTTCTGGTAACTTTATGGTGTACAAGACTTCTACTTTTTACGGAAGATTAGTGTTCATAGACTGTTTTTTGGCTGTTGGTGGTACTTCTAGCAGAGTTGCAGGTGGTGATCTGTTCAAGATTCCTTTGAAGTTATCCTCCTGGCGTTTTCTTTGCTGTTCCCCTTTGGTTATTTGGTTCCCTTCACTACCTTTCATTGGTCTCAGTGTGCTGATTTCTTCCCGGATACCCACCTGTTTATCTGATATAGTGATGTGAAGTTCCTCTTACCTGTAGTCTGTTCCGCTGCAGTTGCCAGCGTGTCGTTGAATTAATTGTCTTTTATTTCTCCTAGCACTCTTCTTTACTTCTTTATTCAGTGAGGTGTGCATTGAACCCTTCTTCTTCTTCTTCTTTTCCTTCTTCTATTGTCCATCTTCGCATTGGTTCATCTGTTCCACCATCCTATATCTTCTATTAGCTTCCAAATGTCCGTTTAGAGCCTTTTCTTGTCTTTCCTCCTCTTTCTTACTAAGACAGCTGTACAGGCTTCCTCTAATACCGCTTTCAGAGTTCCAGTATTCTTATATACTGGTCTCCTAAGTGATGCTACCAAACATTATAAGATTTTCTGGTAATTGCTACCGGTCTATTAAGCAGGAATTTTTAAGTTTGTCAAGTTTAAGGGAGGGGTGGAAAGGTTATTCGATGTTTGAAAAAGATAGTAGCTGTTCTGCATCATGAATCAAGAGAAGGGGTTAACCATTGTGTATTGGATTCCAGCTTATTGACTTAAAGGTTGTTTTTGTTGTCTTGGAGTAACCTAACGGTTCCGACTTCTGTTTGCATTGATGTAGAGAATGCACACCGACAAAGAGTTTTTAACTAGGATGAAATGACGGCGAAATGCTTTCTAGTTTTCCATAGTTCTAGGACGATTTGGATATGTCATAGAATCTAGAGTTACTTTAATCAATCCCTTATAAACCCAATATCTGGGGATTAGAGTCTGTGCAGTTCTAGAGAGCGAGGATATGTAGGCGAACAAATAAACACGACTGCGACCTCATCTATTTCCAACTGGTAGTCCACAAATCCTAACACTATTGGAACTGGTTGCTAAGCTCCTTATCAACTTGTCAGTTGATTCCCTACACTGATGTAGCTTTCATGATGCACTAGAATGGGGATCAATCGATTTAATACACATGCTCTTCACCTTTGCCTATGCAATTCAATTTCTGGGGGGTATATATTCTATCAATTGTGAAAAGCAGCGCACATGTAGATGAAAACAGCCTTCAAACGTATTAGTTGTCTATTTATGTGTTAGTTGTCTCCTTACACATATTATCCACTTCTCTAATTATGATCTATTTGATGTGTGGGCAATATTTAAACCTATTCATTCATTTGTTTTACTTTATTTTGACATCTGCAGGACTTAAAAAGGTTTCTGGCTATTCTACAAAGTGTTACTGAACCCTCATGCAAGCTTGTATATCATTTGAACAATGACAGTCGCTTTTCATTTGGATACCCTCAAGATGAACAACTGCTGTATCTAGTAGACAAATTGAAATGCTTGACAGGACGGTTAAATCTGGCAGCTACAGGGAAAGATGTAAGTCCCATGGCTTACTGCATAATATTCTTGTATCGCTGATCTAAAATGTCATTTCACTTAGTAATATACATTTAGCTTACTATTCTGTCAATCTAGTAAACACCTTAGGCTTATTATTATTTTATTCCTTTACGTTCCCGGTGGAACATAGGGCTTCAAGCTAGAAGCTTTAAGTTTCGGTAACATTGGTGTTTATTTTTACAGGATGGGGTTGCTAACCTCATGCTCAACCCTCCCTCTTCACTGGCTTAGCGAGGTAAAGGAGTACGTTGGTGGCCGGGGATCGAACCTCTATCCGCCTGCGTGGTTGGCGAGCATTCTACCACTGCGCTAACAACTTCAGCAATATGCACCCACCGCGGTTCGAACCCAGGACCTTGCAGTTACAAAGGGAGCTAGCTCGTAGACCATTAAGTCACTGGGACCCTTGGGCTTATAAGCAGTCATTGAAATTCTTGTGATCTTTGTCCAGTTTCTCTCGCCACTTGAGAAATCAGTGTGTCTTAAACGTCTAGGATATTGCTTACGCTCCCCCTCCAGGATTATTTGTTCTGGAACAACATTATTCAACTCCTTTCGTCCCATTACATATAAAACCTTTGACTGTGGCATCACTTAACCTATTGACTCATCTGAAAATTTATAAATTTGTATTAATTTGCGGGTGTTGTTTGGCAGGCACTCGAGTGATTTCAAATTTGATAACTGTCCGATCTCTGGTTGAGTTGTAAGCGCGTACTGATGAAGAGTTCCGAACGAAGACGAAACAGCTAGATGTCCAAAACTGTCTGGTTCTTAGTGGTTCAACAAATGAAGTCAGTTCGTGATCTAACTTGGATCCTGTATTAGATCCTTTCTTCCTTATGTTTCACTGAACTGAATAGAAGGAGCTATTTTACCTCACGTAGGAATTTCAAGGCTGTAAGCAGAGTTAACATTGTGGCCGAACGTTTCTCTGTGTAACCCTTAGCTTCTTCAGCAGAATTATTCAGATTTTAATAAATACTAAGATTTGTGGTAAAATGGTCAGAGTGGATACTTATGGTGTGTAAACGCTACTGGGATAAGCTGATAGGATATTTATGGCTTTTTTATTAGTCCACAAAATCAATAATCCTACACAGGATAAAATACTAACTCTTGACCCAATCACTGAACACACAGAACTTTATGTGTACTACATCACTAACTGACAAAAATTAAATGTCATGAGTCACTGGATCCCATCTAAAGTATTTAGATTAAAACATTCTCCCCCATAAGGCATGACTGTCTTCGACTAAATCTCTGGTGACTCCTTTTAGATGTGTACTGCGAAAGAGCTTTAGATTAGAATGAACCAATTACTCAGCATTTCCTAATGTTCAATGTTAATTTTTTCAGGTTTGTTTATGAGTTGACATCAGTTAAAGGGAGAACCATTGGGAAACCAGCACCGAAGTATTGGGTAGCTGTTTCGTCCTGGTTTGGGTCTCAAAGGTTGAATGGTCTACGAGTTCACCTTCTAACTGGAAAGCCCTGGGTTCGAACTTCTGTGGTAGAGTACTGATGTAGAGTCCCAAACCGGAACTAAACAGCTGTCAGAGCTGGTTTTCCAAAAGTTCTCTAGCTGGTATCAATTCGTGTTCAAACCTGTAGCCATTTGAATCAGCTTCTGTTTGACTCACTGAAACCTATGAAGTTTCATATGTGCCTAAAACAAATGTGATTTTATGCAGAATAAATTAAATTTTGTCAGCCCTAAAATTTTTGGTTTTTTAAATTATTTATTTATTTATTTATTTGGCAGACCATTGTTTATTAGAAGTATTGACCTATTATATTTATTATCAGTAGAAGTATGGCTACAAAGTTCACTAGCATATATGTGCATATTTATGTGAATATGTAGACTCATACGTACACACAGGCATTTAGGTTACATAACAGACTTAACTAGCAAAATAGCAGGATGATGAATATCTGCCAATAGGTCTGCTTTATGCCAAATAACTAAAATGACAGTAATTTGAATCCAGGTTGCGCATTTCATCCTATTTCAGACTCGTCACCTAGATGTACCTGGATTCCATGGCTAGTGATGAAGTTCCGATTAACGCTGGAACCTAGTGCCCTTCGTTTCAAGTGCTATGGAGTTATCCAGACCACTCGGGCCATGAGAGTCACCTGTTATGCAACGTGTGTCAGTCATTATTCATTTTCAAATCAGTTTAGATTTTCCCTTTGATCGAATGAACCGAAATGTTCGGCCTCAGGTACGTACAGGTGACAAGTTCGAAATAGGACAAAATTCCCATCCTGGATACCAGTGCTAGTCACAATTTATCACACTACTTCAAAGAAAAGGATTATTTTAAGGCTGATTTCCTCACGTGTCTACAGGTTAAGGACTTCAGACAGCTGTATTTATTTGACTATACCTGTCCACGATTTGTTGCCTGCGTGTCGTAAAATCATGGAGTAAAAGATTGTCAGACTTAGAATGAATGGAATTCAGCTATCAGAGTTATGAAGTCGCCTGAAACAGAATAATAGGAGGTATTGTTTTACTCCTAGTTAAACCACACATGCATCCTGGATTGGACTGCAAGCCACTATCAATCGAGTAACTTCAGAAACTAACTTATGAAAATTAACCTGATTTTCGCCGCCAGTGACTGGCTACAGGATGAAGTTGCTTGGAGTTCCACTGAGAAGTTGTGACTGGGGTGGGGGGTCCATCCGATGGGTAGTGGGGACAAATGCTCACCGATGACACTGACTAGTGCTATTCGAATTAAATATGTCACGAAATGGTACAAGTTAGAATTCATGGGCTGGTGATCGGGTCGGGTCCCAGTGACTGAATGGCCTACGAGCTCACCTTGTGACTGGAAGATCCTGGGTTCGTGCTTCCGATAAGTCCCAAACTAGAACGAAACAGCTGGCTGTTCAGTACTCCAGGGCTGGTTTTCCAAAGGTACTCTAACTGATATCGATCCGCTTTCAAACTTGAAACGAATCAAATCCCTACAAGTAAACTCTAGAAAATTTCAGGTTACTCATGATTTAAATCTTTGCTGACGATTTCTATAGGATATTGATTCCACAGTGTTCAACCTCTCAGTAATAAGCAAATGTCATAATCTGTGATTATTTGCCATTCTTTTTATTTCAGAATTCTAAGCCGACCGGAGCCAATTCACATGATGCTAAATATCGTTTTCAGTATTCAACTTTAATAGAAGCCTTAGACTTACATCGTGATTGTTACCAATCCTCCTACTGTCCAATGCCAATTAATGAAAAGTGTCTGTCAATACAGAATTTACAATATGCTCATTACACTGATAAGTAAGTATAATACATGCATGGTTGAATATGGTTTTATTTATTTTCTCATGAATATAGTCAACGTTAAAAAGTAACAATTCACTACTGGCGTGATTAAATACTCCTGTTTCAACCAACTAGTCCCAAAATTGATTTTAAATTTCCTATCAGGAACCCTGAAATATCAGACTAATGAGACATAATGCAAATATGACTGTGGCAGTTTCGAATCCTGCTTAGCCATCATGGCCCCACCATCTCCATCATCTTTGCTAACGGAGTAGTTAGTATCTATCGTCAGATGTCACACAATGAGTGTAACATTGTGGTCTTGTACGCGAGAAATCTTCTCTAAGTAATCTGGTTCTCAGTGATCATTACTCTGAGAAGGTACATATTCACTCAGACTGTTTTTATTGCTAGTGTAATAAAGAATATTCTTTTTGTAGCCTCTTTTCGATGCTATACAGTTATATAGTGCTATGAGATGCCATGAAAATGCCTAAATATTATTATAAAGTTATTGTTCCCTTGGGTTCCAAGTGGAACATAGGGCTTCAGCAGCACATCTGCACCTCATCCTATTCTCTGCGGTTCCCTTTTGCTGACCCTACGGTTGTTGTTGGTGTCTCAACTGCTCTTCCGATGATGTCCTCCATGTCACTCTTGAACTGAAACCAGAATCATCGTTTCCCATTCGGTGATTTGCCTGTCGTGGAATGTCATTTGACGGTCTCCTCATCGTGTGTCTGATCCATCTGCACTTTCTTCTGCATATTCGTTGAGCAATGAGTTCTTGGTTGGTTCGTTTCCAGAATTTCTTGTTGCTAATTCTTTCCAGCCAGTCATTTGATCTTCAGTTTGGAGTCAGTGAAGGTTGCTATTGACAAAAGTCTTCACTGACCTGTTGGAAATACTTTTCGTGACACACTGACCGTGTTTCTGATCCATATAAGAGAAATGACTGACTGACTTCACATTGGTGTTGAAAATCTGAATATTTTTGTTTATACTGCAGAGGAGTGGAGAAGATTTCCATAGTGATTTCACAGTGATGAAGGTTTGTCTTCCTTTCTGATCCTGGCTGGTTTCTACATCCTCGTCTGTGCTGTCTCGTGTAGTTGAAACGATGCTGATGGCCAGATAAGCGAATAAAATGAACCCATTCAAATTCCTCCCGTTGACAGTTACTGAAGCCAGTTGTTGTAGCCGTTGTTGGTTGGATTTCTTTATCAGCTACAGATTTCCCTGTTCAAATAAAGTCCTAACTTCACCGATTTCCGCTTCCTCCAGCTTGTTGGTATCCGCCTCTAAGTTCCATTCACTAGTTCTCTGGTATTCTAGTTGATCCTAGACCCTGGAAAAGAGAAAGGATAGGCGTGAAGCAGGCGACACTACATCAAGAAATCAATCAAATGTCTACAGAAACTGTAAAGCCTTTACGCCAGTCAGTCATTATTGTCAGGTTACAGTAAAATAGCATCATTAGGAATGCATTAATTGCATTAATTAGTTATGTGTTTTACACTTACAACGGTGTCAATTATGCATGACTCATTCTCACAAGATCTGACTATTTATGATTTGTCCATTAGTGAAAAGTTATCTTAGATGTAATAGTAAAATAATGGTGGCTGACTAATCCCTGGTTACAATTTTTACGCAAATATGTGATGAGTATTCACTCTGCTCTTTCTTTTTTTGTTTGTTAAATATGATTTTGACTGAAATTACATTTGTCTTTTTGATTAGGTGAAGATATGCCTGAGTGGATTATCGATTAATTGTTTGATGATGACATACATGTTGGTAGTTTGTTATTTTCAGTCGGCAGAGTATGAAGAGTTAAACACTTCCGTATTACGTAATATATCGGGCTGATCTGAAAATAGGATCAGTCTGTGTCATTGACATGGATGATTATGTAATGACTAAGTAACTTGAATTTATTGAACTGGTAGCTCACCATAAATTAATAATGCATATTGTTTTGTAGTATGTAGCGAAATATTAGCCATCGGTGGTTTTACTCATGACTTGACCTTTGTCCCTTAATGCATACGTCTATTTTAGAAGTAATAGTAATATTGACTGACTCATCCCTGATTACAGGTCGAACGGAAAAAAAGACAATGAGATGAATATTCACTTTGTCTTTCTTTTTGACATGATTTTGCATGAAATGAAGTCAAGACATGTCCGAGTATAACTCTGACTGACGGAAAGTATATTAAGAGTTTATTAGGATTAGTCAGTGGTGTATGATGAGTAATTCTGTAGGACAGAAATTTTGATCCGAAATACTACTGATAATGTCATATGAGTAGTTGAAGCGCGTTTGCTTCAAGAAATAATGCTTTCTAGCTACATGGAAATGATGTGAACACTGGGCAGTGGTTTTGGTGGCTTTAGATCCAGCTCATCCACTCAGAGAGCTGAAACACTCGAAGCTATCATAGTTCTGGCTAGCTACTCTAACTAATTGAGAATCCAAGGAATGTAGTTCGTCATTTGGGAACTACGAATTGTTGGTTTGTGGAGAATTGGTTAGCTGCATGAATCATTATGTGCTGACATCATTTAGAGAACCATTGGAAAACCTGCAGGGAGTACTCGATGGCTGTTTCGTTTACCTAGTTTGGGACTCAATGGCAGTAGGTGCCAACGACGAGGATTCAAACACAGGACATTTAGATTGCAAGGGAAGCTCATAGACCTTTCAGTCACTGAGTCAGTATCCAATGGTCTAAAATTCGGACTTCTGCTAATTAGTGGTATATACATATACATATTTAGCGCTACCACCAGCCAGTGTTACAGGTGAGTAACTGTCCTCTTGCTTGACTTGAGTCTGCCTCCTGTGGCTAAATTGTCTGCGAGCACGCCTAATAACCAGTAGGTCCTAGACCCGAATGGCAATGGGTTCGTACTTATGAAGATTCTTAAAGTAGAAGAAAACAACTGTCCAGTACCCCCAGGTTTTCCAATGGTTTTCTAAATGATTCGGGAATTAATCAATTCGAGATGAGAAATCACCACGATCTCCTTCAGATAGCCAAGATATTCAGACCTCAAAAGATGATTTGCTTCATACCATCAGTGGTAATCAAGAAAGCAAATGAGAAAGCATGACGGTTCACAAAGCCGGTTGTTGTGCGTAGGTGGAAAGCATGTACATCAAACAGTCATGCTTGTTAATCAGATGTAAGTTTCTGAAATTGCTTCAGATGTTGAGGCTGAGTGTCACTCGGAAAAATGACTGATGAACTCAGGCTCAAATGAGCGAAATGCCTGTCTAGTGTTTAGGCTACTTCAATTTGACTAGTAAGCACTGCTTACTGGAAAGAGTAGTTTCCCACTACTTATATTAATGAATCGGTAGTATATAGAGCAGTGACTCATAGTATCGCACTGTTTTGCTTGTTTTCTTGCTTTCTGTTCATCGTACTAAGTAGATCAAACATTGAGTTCCGAATGTTTTTTTGGTTTTTAAGGTGATTGTTTTCCACCTCGAACTGTGTGATTAGTGAATGAAGAAATTAAATCGAAAACTAAGTGATTCAATGTTCACTGAGCTATACTTGCGAAAATTTGTAATTGTTTGATCTGAGACTGTCATGTAGAAAGCATGTGACAGCGGAAGCTCACGTATTGACCGACGTAAAATTAAGCGAAATTAATGCAAAATTAATCCACCATTGTCTGTCTCCTGGAATAAAAACAGGAGTGAGACAAGGGTGCTTATTATCACCAATGATATTCCTAATTGTGGTGGACTGGATTATGCGTCAGACAGTGGGAAACGAGAAGACAGGGATATCCTGGACCGACGTGAAGAACCTAGAAGACCTGGATTTCGCAGATGATTTATGTTTGATGTCACACAAAATCGACGACTTACAAGCGAAAACCGACAAACTGGTCGAAGAAGCAGCAAAGACAGGACTCCAGGTGAACATAGACAAGACGAAGGTTATGAAAATAACCAACCGACAACAACAACAACAGCAGCAACATCCAGTGCCAATCACCATCAACGGGAGGGATTTGAAAGAGGTTAGTTCATTCACTTATCTAGGATGCATTGTCTCAACTACAGGAGGAACGGACGAGGATGTCAAATCGAGAATCGGGAAGGCAAGAATCACATTCATCAACCTGAATCCAATCTGGAAGTCTTCGTCACTCAGCATCGACAACAAAATTCGGATTTTCAACACAAACATCAAGTCAGTTCGTCTATACGGATCAGAAACTTGGCGGCGGGTCACCAAGAATATTTTCAACAGGTTGCAGACCTTTATCAACAACTGTCTTCGCTCTATACTGAAGATCAGATGGCCTGAAAGAATCACCAACAAGAAACTATGGGAACAAACAAAACAAGAACCAATCGCCCAACAAATATGCAGGAGAAAGTGGAGATGGATGGGACACTCGCTGAGGAGGCCCCTGGGTGACATCGCGCGTCAGGCCAGTGCTCGAGTGGAACCCGAAAGGGAAGCGGCGAGTGGGACGTCCAAGGGTGACATGGAGGAGATCGTGTGAACAGGAACTGAAACAGTATGCATTAACATGGATGCAAGTGAAAAGTACAGCACAAGATAGAAACTAGTGGAGACGTGTAGTTGAAGCCCTATATTCCACTAGGAACCCATGGAAAGAATAATAATAAAATGCTTCTCAGGAGGAGGCTGTTATTTGAAGTCTTTCTTCCCCATTGTCTTGTTGTCACCTGATTCAATTTATTGAAGGTGGTTTCTGTGTTCATCGAGCACTCTTGTGAGACCTTCAGTGATGGCTTCAAGCATTATGGATAATCAGTCTGAGAATCCCTGTCTTTTCATATTCTGCCTTCATGCCTCGGTGATTTTCGGTAAGATGTTTGTACTTAACTGGACATCAGAAATAGTACCACATACATTTAGGTTACCAACAGAAATGGAGTTATGGTAGGTAAGAGGAGGATAAATGTAACTCTGAGCTAGATAATTCTGCTGTCAATTTTTAGTTCTCATTCT